CAAGCAGACTAAGGACATGGATTACTGGAACCATGTCCTGTGGTCTGATGAGACCAAGGTAAACTTATTTGGCTCAGATGGTGTCAAGCGTGTGTGGTGGCACCTACATCGACAAGTACAAAGACAAGTGTGTCTTGCCTCCACTCAAACATGATGGTGGGAGTGTCATGGTCTGGGGCTGCATGAGTGCTGCCAGCACTGGGGAGCTACAGTTCATTGAGGGAACCATGAGTGCCAACATGTACTGTGACATACTGAAGCAGAGCATGATCCCCGCCCTTTGGAGACTGTGCCGCAGGGCAGTATTCCAACTTAACGACCCCAAACACACCTCCAAGACGACCACTGCCTTGCTAAAGAAGATGAGGGTAAAGGTGATGGACTGGCCAAGCATGTCTCCAGCCCTAAATCCTATTGAGCATCTGTGGGGCATCCTCAAATGGAAGTTGGAGGAGCGCAAAGTCTCTAACATCCACCATTTCCGTGATGTCATCACGGGGGAGTGGAAAAGAACTCCAGTGGCAACCTGTGAAGCTCTAGTGAACTCCATGCCCAATAGAGTTAAGGCAGAGCTGGAAAATAATGGTGTCCACACAAAATATTTGGACATTTTCACTTAGGGGTGTACTCACTTTTGTTGCCAGCGGTTTAGACTGTGTGTTGTGTTATTTTGAGGGGACAGCAAATTTACACTGTTATACAAGCTGTACACTCACTACTTTACATTGTGGCAAAGTGTCATTTCTTCAGTGTTGTCACATGAAAAGATAGAATAAAATATTTACAAAAATGTGAAGGGTGTACTCACATCTGTGAATTTATATTGTGTGTGTATGTATATATATACAGTTGTGTTCAAAATAATAGCAGTCTGACATCACTAACCTGATCAATCACTGTTTTTGCTAGAAATGATATTTCTACATGGCAAATAATTTACTAGCAGGTGTAGTAGAGTAATAGAAATGCAACAGACCCAACAGTCATGACATGCATGCTGCTGATTCTGTGTAATTGAATCACTAATTGAAAGGGGCATGTTCAAAATAATAGCAGTGCGGAGTTCTATTAGTGAGGTCATTCATTCTTTTAAAAACAGGTGGCAATTATTGCCCTTATTTAAGGAAGGAAGGCAGAAAATGTTGTACATGCTGGTTACAGTGCATTTCTCTCTGAAATTCTGAGGAAAATGGGTCGTTCCAGACATTGTTCAGAAGAACAGCGTACCTTGAGTAAAATGTTGATTGGAGAGGGGAAAACATATAAAGAAGTGCAGAAAATGATAGGCTGCTCAGCTAAAATGATGGCAAATGCTTTAAAATGGCAACCAAAACCTGAAAGACGTGGAAGAAAGCGAGACTACCATTCGTATGGATAGAAGAATAGCCAAAATGGCAAGGACTCAACCAACAATCAGCTCCAGGAAGATCAAAGAAGGTCTAAAGTTACCTGTGAGTACTGTTACAATTAGAAGACGCCTATGTGAAGCCAAGCTATCTGCAAGAAGCCCCCGCAAAGTCCCACTGTTGAAAAAAAGATGTGCTGAAGAGGTTACAATTTGCCAAACAGCACATTGACTGGCCTAAAGAGAAATGGCGCAACATTTTGTGGACTGATGAAAGTAAGATTGTTCTTTTTGGGTCTAGTGGCTGAAGACAGTTTGTCAGACGACCCCCAAACACTGAATTCAAGCCACAGTACACTGTGAAGACAGTGAAGCATGGTTGCGCAAACATCATGATATGGGGTTGTTTCTCTCTCATACTACGGTGTTGGGCCTATTTATCGCCTACCAGGGATCATGGATCAGTTTGAATACATCAGAATACTTGAAGAGGTCATGCTGAAGAGGAAATGCCCTTGAAATGGGTGTTCCAACAAGGCAACAACCCCCCAAACACCAGTAAACGTGCAACATCTTGGTTCCAGACCAACAAGATTGACGTTATGGAGTGGCCAGCCCAATCCCCAGATCTTAATCCAATAGAAAACTTGTGGAGTGACATAAAAAATGCAGTTTCTGAGGCAAAACCAAGAAAGAGAAGAACTGTGGAATGTAGTCCAATCATCCTGGGCTGGAATACCTGTTCACAGGTGCCAGAAGTTGGTTGACTCCATGCAACACAGATGTACAGCAGTTCTCAGAAACAGTGCTTATACAACTAAAATATTAATTAAGTGATTCAAAGGAAAGCAAAATCTTCAAACATTTTTCAGTTTATATAGTGAATGTTTGAGTTTGTAAAGAAGACCGGTACCGGTTGTTTTTTCAACACACTGCTATTATTTTGAACACAACTGTGTGTATATATAATATACATACACTGGGATGTTGCAGCGGACAATCGGACACTGACACTTTGTGAGAACCACTGACACTAATACAGTGATCAGTGCTAAAAATATGCACTAACACTGTAATAATGACACTGCTTTTATTAATGGAAGTGATGGATCTTATTCCTTACTTTGTAAGGACACAAGATCCATCACTTCTCCCCTGTCAGAATGGAGCTCTGCCTTGTTTACATAGGCAGAGCTCATCCACTGCCCAGCATCTGCAGATCTTTTTCTGCTGTGAATACTCACAGCCAAAGCAGCGTTCCCCCTAGGCGCAAGTGCAGGATTACATTTATATACTGTATGTGATTTTGCACAGGCTGCCCTGTAACTGTATATATGCTATAGGGCGGTTCAAAAATGTTTAACATATCATCGTCAATAGGGGGAGAATCATTCTGTATCAATGCTTGATCCTCTACCCAAAAACATATATTCGAAAAACTTACATAAAAGAGCACACTGATCTAATCCTTGCAAAGGTACTCGACTCCCTAGGTGACTGCTACAAACACATTAAAATACAGCAGTAGATCAGGCTAACCTCTCATAACTGTAATTGACTTGCCTTGACAGGGTAAAATTCCCCATATGATGATAATTAGATCCTATGCTTGTATCCAGTTATTCTGCTATATTAGTACTTTATAGGGTGCACCATGATACATAGGAGTAATCTACTAACAATAATACTCTTTTCATAAGCAAAAACACAATAATAATACATACACTAGTTATGTACATAGTTAGTCTGGCTGAAAAAGGACAAAAGTCCATCCAGTTCAACCATTTAAAAAAAAAAAAAAAAAAAAAAAAAAAAGTTATAATCCTACACCTACAGTTGATCCAGAGGAAGGCAAAAAACCCCCCAGCAAAGCATGATCCAATTTTCTCCTGCCGGGGAAAAAATCCTTCCCGATCCCTGGAGAGGCAATCAGATATTCCATGGATCAACGTTACCTATAAATGTTAGTATCCAGTTATATTCTGTGTATCTAAGAAATAATCCAGGCCTTTTTTAAAACAATCCACCGAGCTGGCCAGAACCAACTCTTGAGGGAGTCTGTTCCACATTTTCACAGCTCTTACTGTGAAGAAACCTTTCCATGTTTGGAGATTAAATTTCTTTCCAGACCCTATAACGATTATAAATATATTAAAAAGTAAGGGTCCCAACACTGAACCTTGGGGTACACCACTGACGACCCTAGACCATTCAGAGTATGAATCAATAACCACTACTCTTTGAATACGATCTTTTAGCCAGTTTTCTTCCCATTTACATACAGATTTTTCCAAGCCTGTAGACTTTACCTTATACATTAGCCGTGTATGGGGAACTGCGTCAAACGCTTTTGCAAAATCCAAGTATACCACGTCCACCGCCACCCTCTGTCCAAGGTTTTGCTCACCTCCTCATAAACAGAAATCAGATTTATTTGACAACTTCTGTCTTTCATGAATCCATGCTGTCTGTTTGTCAGGAATGGACTGGCCAGCAATAGTGGGACTCAGCTGCCTTATGAGCTGCAGTACCAGGGCTGGCCAGCGGGTGCTCCCAGCAATCAGAGACTCAACCTTGCAGCCAGTCAAACACCTGGAACTAATTATACTGGTGTATTTAAGGGACATTCAGACCTGCAGACTCGGCCTTGGTGTTGTGTTTCTTGGGCCCTGTATCCTGTTCCTGCTCTCTGTTTCCTGTCTGATTCTCTGCTGACCCTGCTCTGATCCCTAGCTTGTCTGACCATTCTCCTCTGCCTGACCCTCTGTACCACGCTGCCCGCTACCTGCTGAACCTGGCCTGTGACCCCGACCATTCTCCGCTTGCTCCCCCTGTACCTACCTGCCCGACTGATATTGACCCCGGCCTGCCTGACGACGCTTGCATTGTATGTACTGTTATCTGTGGGTGGTTGGTTGGTTTGTTTGCACTGTGTTATGTTTTAGTATTGCACTGCGTTTATGTTTGTATGGTTAGTGTTAATAAATTACATTGTTTATAACATATCTGAAGTCTGCGTTTCCCTGCGTCAGTCACACACCTCTGGTCATACCCGGGAGCCCTGACATTACACCAAGGCCAATCCTGACCAGAAGTGGCTGCACAGGGAAGCCATCTTGGCTTGTTGATGGGAAGGATGGATCTGGATGAGGTTGCGTATTTATATCTGCTAGTGTTTGATGACAGGGAGTATGCTTATCAAACTCTGAAGGAGTATACCCGGGATGAACTGCTAGAATGTATACGGCTCGCTCATGTTCTTAGTATATCAGGGCACAGAATTCTCTGAGGTGCAGCCTTTGATTGAGGTTTGTGCTGAGTTGGTTTCATCTGGTGGGTTACCCCCGAATGCAGGGATGAATTTTTGCCACCATTTAGTGCAGACCAGGTAGAGTCCCTGGTGTGGTTATTAGAGGATGATGTGGGTTACTTTCTGGAGCGTTATTCCACATGTTCACCACAGGTACTAAGAGATTGTATAAACGCAGTGCAGTCTTTGGTCAGACAGGCTTTGTGTAAGCTCAGCTTTGTTCAACCCATACTGCAGACATGGACAGACTTGTTGCACCCAGCCTCAGTCAGCTTACAAAAACCCAGTCCTGCTTCTAATCTATTTCCTCTCAAAACTCTATTCCTGCATTCCCAACAGCTCCTCCTGCCCTGCTATCTACCGCATGTCAGTACCCTGTTCCCACTCGCTGCACCTATCCTGCCTTTAACCCTGTAAAAAAGCCCTCTGTAGCAACTGGTCCCTCTCCTGTTCCATCCTCCAGCTCTTCTCTGACTCCAGCTGCTCCATTCGTTTGCAGACCTGCGTTTACTTGCAGTGCTCCAGTAGTTAAAACCAGAAAAAAGCGAAAATTTCTTTCCAACCAATACCATCCTGCCAGTATCCAAACCGGTGAACCTGCCTTCCGTGGTTCAGCCTGAAGCCTCTCTACTCAGCCTGAATCCTCTACTCAGCCTGATGCCTCTACTCAGCCTGATGCCTCTACTCAGCCTGATGCCTCTACTCGGCCTGATGCCTCTACTCGGCCTGAAGCCTCTACTCGGCCTGAAGCCTCTACTCAGCCGGACGCCGGCATTCAGCCTGATGCCTCTACCCAGCATGATGAACTGATCCAGCCTGACGATCCTATTAGGCCAGTTGACTCGATGCCCGCTGTTGATCCAGATGATCCGGTACCTGATCCGGTGCCCGCTGTCGTGCCAATTGACTCGGAGCCCGCTGTCGTACCTGGTGACTCGGTGCCCACTGCCTTGCCAGATGACGCGGTGCCCGCTGGCGAGCCAAATGACCTGATGCCTGGTGACCCAGTGCCCGCTGTCATACCTGGTGACCCGATGCCCGCTGTCGAGCCAGACGATCCAATGCCTGGTGACCCGGGGCCCACTGCCTTGCCAGATGACGCGGTGCCCGCTGGCAAGCCAAATGACCTGATGCCTGGTGACCCAGTGCCCGCTGTCATACCTGGTGACCCGATGCCCGCTGTCGAGCCAGACGATCCAGTGCCTGGTGACCCGGTGCCCACTGCCTTGCCAGATGACGCGGTGCCCGCTGGCAAGCCAAATGACCTGATGCCTGGTGACCCAGTGCCCGCTGTCATACCTGTGACCCGATGCCCGCTGTCGAGCCAGACAATCCGGTACCTGATGACCCGGTGCCCACTGTCGTGCCTGTTGACTCGGAGCCCACTGCCTTGCCAGATGACGCGGTGCCCGCTGTCGAGCCAAATGACCTGATGCCTGGTGACCCGATGCCCGCTGTCCAGCCAGACGATTCAATGTCTGCCCCAGTGCCCGCGGTCATGCCAGTTGACTCGGAGCCCACTGCCTTGCCAGATGACGCGGTGCTCGCTGTCGAGCCAAATGACTTGATGCCTGGTGACCCGATGCTCGCTGTCCAGTCAGACGATCCAATGTCTGACCCAGTGCCCGCGGTCATATCAGTTGACTCGGAGCCCACTGCCTTGCCAGATGACGCGGTGCCCGCTGTCGAGCCAAATGACCTGATGCCTGGTGACCCGATGCCCGCTGTCCAGCCAGACGATCCAATGTCTGACCCAGTGCCAGCGGTCATGCCAGTTGACTCGGAGCCCACTGTCGTGCCTGGTGACTCGGTGCCCGCCGCTTCGCCTGGGGGCCCGAGACCTGTCGCTCCGCCTGGGGGTCCGGCGCGCCCGCCGCTCCACCTGGGGGTCCGGCGCCCGCCGCCCCGCCTGGGGGCCTGAGACCTGTCGCTCCGCCTGAGGGCCCGAGACCTGTCGCTCCACCTGGGGGTCCGGCGCCCGCCGCCCCGCCTGGGGGCCTGAGACCTGTCGCTCCACCTGGGGGTCCGGCGCCCGCCGCTCCACCAGAGGGCCCGAGACCTGTCGCTCCATCTGGGGGTCCGGCGCCCGCCGCTCCGCCTGAGGGCCCGAGACCTGTCGCTCCGCCTGGGGGCCCGATGCCTGTCGCCCCGCCTGGGGGCCCGATGCCTGTCGCCCCTCCTGGGGCCCGGCGCCCGCCGCTCCGCCTGGGGGCCCGATGCCTGTCGCCCCACCTGGGGGCCCGACGCCTGTCGCCCCGCCTGGGGGCCCGACGCCTGTCGCCCCGCCTGGGGGCCCGACGCCTGTCGCCCCGCCTGGGGGCCCGACGCCCGCCGTTCCATCTGGGGGTCCGGCGCCCGCCGCTTCGCCTGGGGGCCCGATGCCTGTCGCCCCGCCTGGGGGCCCGACGCCTGTCACCACCCCGCCTGGGGGCCCGACGCCTGTCGCCCCGCCTGGGGGCCCGACGCCTGTCACCCCGCCTGGGGCCCGACGCCCGCCGCTCCATCTGGGGGGTCCGGCGCCCGCCGCTTCGCCTGAGGGCCCGAGACCTGTCGCTCCGCCTGGGGGCCCGATGCCTGTCCGCCCCCCTGGGGGCCCGATGCCTGTCGCCCCGCCTGGGGGCCCGATGCCTGTCGCCCCTCCTGGGGCCCGCCGCTCTGCCGCCTGGGGGCCCGATGCCTGTCGCCCCGCCTGGGGGCCCGACGCCTGTCGCCCCACCTGGGGGCCCGACGCCTGTCGCCCCGCCTGGGGGCCCGACGCCTGTCGCCCCTCCTGGGGGCCCGGCGCCCGCTGCTCCGCCTGGGGGCCCGATGCCGGTCGCCCCGCCCGGGGGCCCATGCCTGTTGCCCCGCCCGGGGGCCCGGTGCCTGCTGCTCTGCCCGGGGGCCTGCTGCTCCGCCCAGGGGCCCGGTGCCTGCTGCTCCGCCTGGTGGCCCGCTGCCTGCTGCTTCGCCTGGTAATCCGATGTGCCTCTGCCCAGAGTCCGGCCCGATGTGCCTCTGCCCAGAGTCCAGCCCGATGTGCCTCTGCCCGGAGTCCAGCCCGGTGTGCCTCTGCCCGGAGTCCAGCCCAATGTGCCTCTGCCCGGAGTCCAGTCCGATGTGCCTCTGCCCGGAGTCCAGCCCGATGTGCCTCTGCCCGGAGTCCAGCCCGATGTGCCTCTGCCCGGTGTGCCGCTGCCCGATGTGCCTCTGCCCGGAGTCCAGCCCGATGTGCCTCTGCCCGGAGTCCTGCCCGATGTGCCTCTGCCCGGTGTGCCGCTGCCCGGAGTCCTGCCCGGTGTGCCAGTCTTTGATATCCCGCCAGTTACCAGACCCGGGCGGTGGAACATTTTGCCCAGCTAGGACTGTTTGGAGCGTCCTGAGGCCGCTCCTTGAGGGGGGGGTACTGTCAGGAATGGACTGGCCAGCAATAGTGGGACTCAGCTGCCTTATGAGCTGCAGTACCAGGGCTGGCCAGCGGGTGCTCCCAGCAATCAGAGATTCAACCTTGCAGCCAGTCAAACACCTGGAAGTAATTATACTGGTGTATTTAAGGGACATTCAGACCTGCAGACTCGGCCTTGGTGTTGTGTTTCTCTTGGACCCTGTATCCTGTTCCTGCTCTCTGTTCCTGTCTGATTCTCTGCTGACCCTGCTCTGATCCCTGGCTTGTCTGACCATTCTCCTCTGCCTGACCCTCTGTACCACGCTGCCCGCTACCTGCTGAACCTGGCCTGTGACCCCGACCATTCTCCGCTTGCTCCCCCTGTACCTACCTGCCTGACTGATATTGACCCGGCCTGCCTGACGACGCTTGCATTGTATGTACTGTTATCTGTGGGTGGTTGGTTGGTTTGTTTGCACTGTGTTATGTTTTAGTATTGCACTGCGTTTATGTTTGTATGGTTAGTGTTAATAAATTACATTGTTTATAACATATCTGAAGTCTGCGTTTCCCTGCGTCAGTCACACACCTCTGGTCATACCTGGGAGCCCTGACACTGTTGCTTAAAATATATTTTACTCATATACTCATCTTTGTGGGTTTTTTATTAAACTCTCCAGTATCTTCCCACTACAGAAGTTAAACTAACAGGTCTATAATTACGTAGTAAAGATTTTGACCCCTTTTTAAATATTGGCACCACATTGACCTTACGCCAATCCAGTGGTACTATGTCAGTCATTAAAGAGTCCCTAAAAATTAGAAAGAATGGCTTTGAAATGACTGAGTTCAATTCTTTAAGGACCCGTGGGTGTATGCCATCCGGTCCAGGTGCTTTATTCACCTTTATTCTGTCTAAATATTTTTGGATCATATCAATTGTGAGCATCTTTTGCAATCTGTCATTCGTTTTCATTCTTTGCGACCTTTATTTCCTTTTTGCATATTCTGTTATATTCTTTGTAATGTTTAAATGATGATAGTGTTCCTTCATTTTTATAATGAATAAAAGCTTTTTTCTTATTATCTTTAGCTTTTTTTTTACTTTGGCCGTAAGCCACATAGGTTTGATTTTTAGCCTTATAAACTTGTTGCCCACGGGAGTATATTTTGCAGTGTTTTCACATATAATCTTTTTGAAGAACTCCCATTTCTGTGTTGTGTTCATTGATGCCAATATTCCCTCCCAGTCTAAGTCTTGGAGAGCAGTTCTAAGCCTTGAAAAATTAGCTCTCTTAATATTAAGCATTTTTATTTTTCCCGCATGTTCTTGCTGTTTGCAGCTAACAATAAATGAAATCATGTTATGGTCACTGCTACACAGATGTTCTTTTATATGGACATTCGTATAAGCTCTGCATGGTTTGAGATTACCAGATTCAACAGATCATCATTCCTAGTTTGGGCCTCTATGAACTGTACCATAAAATTGTCCTGTAGTAGGTTTAAAAAATGTTGCCCTTTAACTGTTCCTGCAGTACCATTACTCCAGTAAATTTCCGGGTAATTAAAATCCCCCATTATTATCACTGTCCCAGCCCTTTACATCTGTGCAAGGAGCTGAGTCTCCACCTCCTCATTAACACTGGGAGGCCTATAACAAACTCCAATGATTACCTTTGTAGTACGCATCCCCATGTGTAGTTCCACCCATAATTCTTCAGCCTCATGATACGCTCCATCAACTAGGTCCTCTTTCACACTCGCTCTGAAATCACTTCTCACATAGAGACAGACACCACCACCTTTCCTATGTACCCTGTCTCTCCAAAAGAGAACATAGCCAGGAATATCAGTGGCCCAGTCATGTGAAGAATGAAGCCAAGATTCAGCAATACCAATTAAATCATAGTTCTGTTCATGCACCAAAGCTTCCAACTCACCTATTTTGCTTGGCAGACTTCTATTGTTGTGACTTAGATGACGTTCAGAGCACATTTTATGCCCAATTCATGCAAAACTCCACGTAATCCCAAGGGGTTCACATACTTTTTCTTGCAACTGTAGGTTGCACCCCAATGAAAAGTCAGCCCAGTGCTCTAGAAAGCAAAATACTTCCCTCTTACACCAGGTCTTTAGCCATGCATTGAGTTCTCTAATCTACCCCTGTCCTTCCTGAGTTGCGCATGGCACAGGTAATATTTCAGAGAATATCACCTAGGAGGTCCTTCCCTTCAACTTGCAGACTAGTTCTTTAACCTGTTCATGCCGGCCGCACACAAATGTGCGGCCTCCCGGCGTCTGGGCCTAGACGCCGAGCGGACGCACATTTGTGTGCAATTAAGAAAAACGTGCTGAGAGCGAGCTCCCTGCACAGGTACTCACGGAAAGGTCCCGATCTCCTCTTTCGATCGGGACCTTTCCCGATCATGTGACAGCCATGATGGCGAATCACGTCGGTCACATGACCCTAAAACCCCGCCCCGCCTCCCAGCTTCTGAAACCCTTAAAGGGTCGGGAGGCACTGGCGCCAAGGGGTTAAATTGATTCTTAAGAAGCCTCCACCTTCCATGTATTCTGTTATTGGTTCCAACATGGACCAAGACAGCTTGGTCATGCCCAGCCCCTCCCAGTAATTTATCAACCCGGTCCACCACATGCTGAACCCTGGCACCAGGGAGACAGCAAACCATTCGGTTGAGGAGATCCTGGCAACAAATTATTTTATCAGTCCTTCTGATTATAGAATCCCCTACTACCAACAACAGTCTTGGCCTTCCTACACTACCCTCACCACCCCTCCCAGATGGTCTGCCCTCCTGGCTGTTTGGGATAGCAGGAACATCCAGAACTGCCACTCCTAAGCTTGCCACCCCCACATCTTCACCCACCTTGGCAAATCTGTTTGGATGCACAAACCCAGGGCCAGCCTTCCTTTCCTGTGAGCCCCTCATTACAGAAACCCATCTTCCTACTTGAAAATGCTGATTAGCCCCCTCCACAATCCACATCAATCCCATTGACTACCTGCTCAGAGAGCAGAAGACCCCTTTCAAGGTTGTCTGTTCTGCCCAGTGTTGCAGCTTGCTCCTCCAGATCTCTAACGCGAGTTTCCAGAAGGGCAAACCGTTTACATCTGTCGCAGCGGTATCCATCGTGGAGCTAATACTAGTCCTAACTAATGGCTCAGTCCCCTTACCACATCCACTATATTACCAAAAGTATTGGAATGCCTACCTTTACACGCACATGAACTTTAATGGCATCCTCGTCTTTGTCCGTAGGGTTCAGTATAGAGTCGGCCCACCCTTTGCAGCTATAACAGCTTAAACTCTTCTGGGAAGGCCATCCAAAAGGTTTAGGAGTGTGTGTATTGGAATGTTTGACCATTCTTCCAGAAAGCACATTGGTGAGGTCAGGCACTGATGTCAGACAAGAAGGCCTGGCTCGCAGTCTCTGCTCTAATTCATCCCAAAGGTGTTCTATTGGGTTGAGGTCAGGACTCTGTTCAGGCCAGTCAAGTTACTCCACCCCAAACTCTCTCATACATATCTTTATGGACCTTGCTTTGTGCACTGGTGTGCAGTCATGTTGGAACAGGATGGGGCCATCCCCAAACTGTTCCCACAAAGTTGGGAGCATGAAGTTGTCCAAAATGTCTTGGTATGCTGATGCATTAAGGGTTCCTTTTATTGGAACTAAGGGGCCAAGCCTAACCCCTGAAAAACAAACCCCACCCCATAATCCACCCTCCACCAA